TGCTGCTGCCCTCTGGCCGTCTCCAGAGGCACCACAGGTGCCCAGCCTTGGCTCGCAGCAATGCCACCCCTCCTCACCCCCTCATCAGCCCCGCTTTCAGATCCAATCTTCCCCTCTTCTGTCCCTGGGGTCTCTCTTGGATCAGCCCACCACATACATCTATTATTGGGAAGACTGCTGAAATGCCTCCTCTTACAAACAGCCTCCAGGATTAGGAGGAGAGTAAGTACCATGGAATTCCACTCAACACACACACACACACACACACACACACACACCCCACCTCGTCATCCCCTCCAGATAGCAGTGCTTGTCACGCACAGAAGATGTGCTTCATGACTAAGGCCGAGGGAGTACCCAGCGGCTTCTCTGATATGTGGTGTCCCGGGGGCAGCGGTGGTCAGGGCAGGGGTTTGGAAGACAGGAGCCGGGGTTATCATCCTGCTTTGGTCCCACTTGCTGCACTGCGTGAGCACTGCTTGCCCTCTCTGAACTCACTGTCTCAGCAGGGATGGGCATGAAGGGCATCCAAGCTCCTCGCCACCCCGGCATTCTGGGGTTCTCAGTAGAGTGGCTCATGGTGTGGGGGAGGGCGTGGGAGCTGGGAGGCCAGGGGCTGCTCTCAGGCATCTCCAGACCTCTTCAACGCCCCTGCCCCAGCCCAGCAGCGTACAGCCCTGTCCCCTGCTCTGGCTGGGAGCCCCCGGGGGCACAGGTGAGCCTGCCTTCTCCACCTCCACCCTTGTCACCCACCTCTGGGGTTGGCACAAAGTACGTGCCTAGTAAACCTTTGTTGGGGCAATGATGTAGAATGCCAGGCTCCTGGGGTGCCCTTTAACCGCCCCCAATTTACCTTTCCTGGCAGGTGCATCCTCTGATGTGTGGGTGACCTCAGCACTCACAGTCCACTCCGGCCTGGCTTATGTCTGTTTGTGGGTCCTTGACCCTGTGACAATCCATCTCTCCGGGCTGTTCAGGTTCAGGTGAGTGGGGGCAGGTCTGTGGCACTTGACACAGCGGCCGGCTCAGGGTGCCGAAACCGTCACTTTCCTTAAATCACGTGCATGGCAAACACGTTCCTGATTTATGGTGATTCGACGGACAGATTGTTCAACTTTCTGATGGTGAGAAAGCACTATGCATTTAGTAGAAACCATGCTTTTTAAAATTTTGGTCTTTGCCTGGGTTAGCAACATGCAGTGCAATGCTCTCTCGTGGCCGTGGGAGCCAGCCGCAGCTCCCACTCAGCCACGCGATCGCCGGGATAAACTACCTATATCCCACTGTGCAGTCATCGTGTTAGATGAGTTTGCCCCATGGGAGGATAATATGTTACCTGAGCATGTTTAAGGTAGGCTAGGCTAAGCTCTGGTGATCAGAAGGTTAGGTGCATTAAATGCATTTTTGACTTAGCAGTAGTTTCCATTTACATGGGTTTGTTGGGACATAACCCAAGGCAGGTGCAGGAGCATCTGCATTTGAGCACCTGCCGGGGCGGGGGCTCCTTGCCCTTGAGGAGCTGTCTTCTGCAAAGATGTTGAACCAAATGCTCAGGAAGCAGTAGGAAGCACAGCTGATTCTCCTGATCTGCAGCAATGTTCTAAAAGGTGTACGAGCATGGAATGAGCGAATGCCGAACCATTGCTTCTAGGGGAATACAGCCTTAGGTTCCTCTCAGCCTCTGGTGATGTCATTTTTGTCAGCCGATCAATACCTAACCTTGTTTCTTGTGTGTTTCTGTTTCAAGACACCTTATTTATATATCTTGGCGATTCATTAGCATTGAGCTCACAGCCCACAGCTCTGTAACTCGACCCAAGCCCACGCTAACACACGTGTTTTCTCTGTAAGGTATCACAGCCTCCCTGTGCTCAGGAACACGAGACAGCCTGCCAGCACCACACGTGGGGGCGTTCTAGACAGTGACATCACCAGCAAACAGCACACACTGTGAAACGCGTGACACTGGCCAGATCACGTCAAGAACCCTTGTTGACAGTGTGAGAGCCCAAGGCAGAGGGTCACCTCGTGCGGCCTGTGCTGCCAATGGGCTTCCTGAGCAAGTACATTTCCAGTGCTTTTCACTTGTCTGGAATGACCATAGAAGTGCCATGACTTAAAAAAAAATTTTTTTTTCCTTATTGATTTTAAAGAGAGAGGAAGGGAGAGGGAGAGAGAGATAGAAACATTGATGAGAGAGAACATCAACTGGCCGCCTGCTGCATGTCCCCCACTGGGGATCGGGCCCACAACCTGAGCGTGTGTCCTGACCGGGAATCGAACCGGCGACCTCTTGGTGAATGGGTCCACACCCAACCACTGAGCCACACCAGCCGGGTGTGCCATGACTATTGATTTTGAGATTACAAATAAATTTTAGCAAGAGGGCAATTTTGGAAGTATGGGATCCGGGAGTGATGAGGATGGACTGTATGTGCAGGAGTAAGAATGAAGTTTCAGGAGGGGAGAGGCGGGAGCCCTGGGAGACAGAGAAGGTCACAGAGGTTCACCATCGGTGCTAAGCTTTAATGGATAAGTAAGACTTCCCTGGTGGGAGGGCATTTGGGACAGAGTGTGCATTCTGTGTAAAGTCATGGGACAATGTGGGGTGAAGTAGTGCCTTTCTCTGGGATGAAGATGAAAACCTGGGAGGGGACATGTCAGGAAGAGCTCTGATCTCCAGGGACCAAGGGAAGGGAGAGAGGTTCCACGTCCATCCCTTCTCACTGGTTAGGGTAGTGTCAATTGCTCTAACAGAGAAACCCCAAATTGTAGTGGCTCCATCCAACACATTTCTTACACCTATTAGAGTTCAACATGGGTGATTGGTGGGCAGCATTCCACGTGATAATTTAGAGACCTGCTTCTTCAGAACTGTGGCTCCACCATCCTCGAGAGCCTCAGAGTCCTTGCTGACCAACAGAGTTGCAGGGAGATTTTTATAAGCTGAGCATTGCAGTGACCGCCCCCTCCCCCCATGTTCCACTGTCACATGGCTCTGCCTGGAAGCGAGGGAGGCTGGGCAATGAAGTCCCTGGTTGGACAGCTGCTTCCCAGAAACATGTCTGCACTCTGGAAGGGGGACATGAATCTTTGGCAGATAGGTAGCTGTTTTTGCCATAGGCCATCAGATCCGTCTGTCAAACTCCTGGGCAGAACCTAAAGAAGTCAGTGTGGTGAGTGAATTCGATGGAAATGGGGCATCAGGATGATGTCTAGCCCAGAGCAGATGGTCCATAAACACTTCGTAAATGAATGCACGAGAAGTGCATTATGTCTTGTTCCTTGGTTCTCTTTAGTTTAATGTACATATATTTTAAACAAAATAAGGCTAAATGGAAAAGAGGTGAAAGAAGAGAGAGCGAGGGGTGGGGGTTAAGCCGGGGGGAGGAATGTGGGGGTTCTCATTTGTCCTGTATTCGGGTGCAATGCTCCCTTTGCCTGGAGAAGGAGATGTGCCACAGGAGCGGAAGGAGGGATGCTTGGAGAGAGCAGGTATGGAGAAATGCAATTCTGGTCTACCCGGGAATATCATGTCCGCTTAATTCAATCTCATTCAGGATTTGGGCAGCAGAGAGTTTCTGTAGGACTCCAAAAACCCCACGCGTGACCGATGGGTTGTCTGAATGGTCCCCACAGCCTGGAAGGAAGCTAGGGAGGAGGAAACAGGAGGAGAGCCCCCATATGTGTAACCTGGCACCTGGGGTTGGGGCTCCTCTCCAATCTCCCCACAGTTTTTAATCCAGCCTTGTACCCAGTAGTTTCATAATTCCACATCTCCGATTTATCAATCAAACACCATCTGTCAGGCAGTGTCACGGGCCCCACTGGTGTTTCTCCATTTGAATGGTTGCTGCCTATTTAACTATTCTTCAGCAGCTTCCATTGATGCCAAGTGGGAGGGAATCACCACCACCTTCTCTCTGTAGCACACCCAGCACGGACAATCACAGAGCTTCCCCAGGCCAAGGAGTCAAAGTAAATTAGCAATCAACACAAACAGCCAGCCCTCTTGGAAGTATTGTTTCAGGGCAGCAGGCTGGGGAGGGAGGGAGGGTGGGGTGACCCTTCCCCTGGTCGAAGGCATCACTGAAAAGTGCAGGGAGGCAGCCGACTGTGTGGGAGCACAAACCTGCTCATCTGTGTGCGTGTTCCCCAGAGTCACGGTCACGGTCTGAGCTCACATCTTGCCTTGGCACGTTTTTGCTGTGGAATCTGGTTGCTGGCTCAGAAGACCTCATTTACATAACTGTGTGTGTGTGTGAGGGTGAGGTGTTAAGACTAATTTATGGCTGTAGAAAAGGGATGAAGTTTTTCATTCAAACAGAAAGGTCAGTAGTAGACCCAAGATCGTCCAGCCCTTAGCTCTGAACTCTAACACTGCCCCTGCTCTCCGCTCCCCTGCAATTTTGGCAGGGAAGTGTGGAGAGGGGAGAAGGACACCACCCTCCCCAGCCCGCTCCCAGCATTGTGCCCGCACAGGAAAGTGCTCCAGACATACACGTTGCATGCAGGAGTGTGTGACGTGGTCACTGGCCCCTCCCCTTGTCACTTCGAGCAACTTTCCCAAAGGAAGGGCAGAGCCCTCCAGTCCTGCTGCCCCCTTCCCACCAGCAAGGAAAGGCCTCGGAACTTCGGCCCTTGGGAGGTTCCGGGATGGGGTGGGACGCTCAGAGGTGAGGACGCACGGGCGCCTGCCCCAAGCTGCTCCGCCTTAGTTGGCCCTGGGGTGGGGACCACCGGGGAACTATGTCAGCTTCAGCTCCTCAAAATGTGGGAGTCACCCGTCCCCAAGTGACCCTCCCAATCTTTGTTGTGCTGTGAAATGGTCAAGAGACGTGTAGGGCCCGGCTCCTGACTCAAGAACCCTGCCCGAGAAGATGGCTGAGGAGGGAAGGCAGCCGGCTTAATGCGACCAGCCACGGAGCAAGCTCCGACTGGCATGTTCCGGCGGGGAGATCAAAGCGGACAGGCAGGCTGGCCGAGTCAGCTCATCGGACAGTTTCATTCCTTCTTGGCTATGCTTTCGGCTTTATTTTCCACACAGTCGGGACTGGACGTGCCCAGAAGTCACCCCATCATCCGGTAGCTGGTACAGCATCACCTGAGATCTATTTTAATGCAGCTTAGTGGCCAGTACAGTGGCCCAGTGACTCCCACAGGGCAGCGGGCACCCGGCTCAGTGCCACCGAACGTCTGTTAAGCACAGGCTGGCTCGCTGGTGGCCGTGGCCAGAATAGTCCGCAAGTGACTAGTGTCCAGAGCCCAGAGACGGGCATGAGTGTGGGGTGCCTGACAGCAACAGGAGGCTCCTGCCAGTTCCATGGGTCACCTCGAACACCTCCTCAACAATCTCCATCCGTGCTCCCTCTGCCCCGAGACTGCTTCCTTGCCTTGCCCCCTCCAGAGTCAGTCTTCTGCACTTGCGCTTGTCTTAAGGGAAGCGGAGACTTGATTCGCAAGAGGACAGGTGAGGTTGTGTGAGGCGAGGCCATTGCCCTCGGCACCCAGAGTCACCCCTCTTTCCTGGTGGAGGCAGGAGGTGAAAAGAGGCGACCTCCAGCCAGGAACCATCCACCAAGTGGCTGGAAACTTCTGCCCACAGCAGGGCCCCGAAGGCTCTGCAGAGGGGGCAGTGAGTTTGCTCCCCAGTTTGTGCCCTGTGAGCACAGCCAGGGAAGGAAGGGGCTGAGAATGGCACCTGCACCGGGCCTCTCTCACCTCCTGGGTCTTCTCAGTGTCTGCAGGTCAGGCAGCTCCCTCTGCAGATTACAGGGCTCAGGGGAAAGAGGCTTGGTGGGTCTCCATGGCAACGCACATCCGCGCTGGCCCCGCCCGCCCGCTCTGGTGCCAGCCTCCTGGGACACACGCTCCGCCAACGCCAGGCTGTGTCCTGCTCCGGTCAGTGTTCTCTGGGCACAGCGCCTGGGAGGCAGAGAGAGGGAAGAGCGCGAGGCCGCAGCCAGCCACGAAAGAAACAGGAGGGAGACGCCTGGGACATGGCTTCTCTCTACCTGCTCTCCCTCCGCTGCTGAACTTTCTGCTTTTCCCTGAAGAGACCTGGACACGGTCTCCTCCCAGACTGGGAAGCAGAAAGCAGGACCTCCGCTGGGCCTGCCGCCTCAGGAAGCCAGGTACGAGGGTCCTCGCCCCAGGACACAGTGGCCTCTGCACTCAGAGCAGCCCTGCTCTGAGCCCGGCCAGCCCCGAGCTGGGAGGGGCCTTCAGGGCGGTGGCAGGCTGGGACCGCCTGTTGAGGAGTCCGGGTCCAGGGCCTGGATGGCCACAGCGAGGCCCTGTCTGCCCTCAGCTGGCCTTGCTCTATAAGCCCGGGGAAGCCGCGGCTTTTGCCGGCCATGGAACCAGCACGTCTGTCTGGGGGACCCAGCACTTTCTCTGTTTCACTCGGGGTGGGGGGATGCAGGCCGGGAAGAAAGGTGAACCCCAAATCAGAGATTCTCTCATCCATTTGAGAGCTGTGACTTGAGCACCTACAAAGCACATGGTGCAGAGTCGGGGGGCCAGGACGCATGGATGATGCGGGGGTCTCAGTCCCCCGGCCACAAAGCTGTGTGTGAGTCCCCAGGGGCACGCCCGAGGAGCGGGCCTGGACAGAGCCACGGGCCCCACGGGGAGGATCAAGCTGGGGAAGGAAAGTCTGGGCTGCGACTATGGGACCAGGGGAGTGTCTTGGGCGTCAGCCCCTCCTGCTGTGGTCTGTAGGGCCTGAGCCCTTGCCCCTCCTGGGCACACCCTGCCCCAGAATGAGGAGGAACCGCTTACCAAGCGCCTACCGCGTGCTGCAGATTCAGCAGACGAGCTCTTGCCCTCACAGAGCTCCTGGCCAGGCGGGGAGAGGGGGAAACATGAGAAAGTGAGGCCCGTGTCTGTTTCCAGTGCCAGGATGACAGGCGGGTGCCAGGCAGCAGGAGGCACCGGTTCCAGCTCAGTGGGGGGCAGCGAGGGGCAGGCTGCGGGGAGTTGCTGCTGACCTTTCAGGTGTGTCGTAAAAGACGAGCGGGTGTTTGTCAGGTGGGCAGAGACCCACGGGTGAGGCCGAGTCTCACCTGGCTTGGTGAATGACATGTAGCACTTTGCCGTGATGCCAAAGAAAAATAAGGTCAATTTGCAGTCTGCGAAGCCGGCCTTGGACCTTGGCAGAAGCGGGCTGGGAGGAAAGTCAGTCGGGGGAGCACCTCGTCCCGGCACCTGCTCCGAGGCCTCTGTCCAGACCCAGGGCCCAGCTTCGGCAGCGCCGCCCTCCTGCTCAGTGCGGCAGCGGGCTCCCGGGGACAGCCTGGCGCAGGTGGTCCAGGTCCTGGGGGCTGTGCAGGGCCGCCCCTCGCAGGCCTGCAGCGGCAGGGTGGAGCCTGGGTGGGGCTCCCTTAGGATGGACAAAACAGCTCCCTGGCAGGGACGGCACTGTCCTTCCTCGACTGGCCGGGCTGGTGGCCTCGGTACTCACTGGAGTCCTCTTCCTGCGAGGGAGTCAGAGTCTTGCCTCCAACTCTGAGGGTACAACCCACACTGTTCCCACCCTGCAAAGTCCCTGCTCCCTGGCCCCCTTCCCGCTGCTCCCTGCCCGGAACCAGGCTCTTTTTGCTCCGAGTGGCAGAGGCGGTTTTCCGAGTGTGTCTAAGCACCTAATGAGCCGCAGCTGGCGGCGGTGTCGCCCAGGGAGCCACAGAAAGGCATTGTCCTCAGGGGTGTTCAGAAATAGGCCGAAGGGAAGGCTTGGAGGGGGTGGGAGAGGAGGGGTAATGAGAGGGAGAGGAAGGAGGAGGGGAGAGCAGAGGATGAAAGAGGGAAGACTTGGGTGAGTGACACCAAGGGGCAGAGACCCAAGCAGTGAGGGCTTTCCTACTGGTGCTGGGTAAACTGAGGCTTCACCCCGAGCCCTTCCTTCATGGGAGCAAGGCCAGGCACAGGACTGGGTCAAACTTGCGCCAAGCCTGGGGGTCCCTTCCTTGTTATGCCTTAGACCCCTTTGGAAGCCCATGGACACGTTTTCAGCAAAATGTTTCTAAAGGCATAACGTTAAGTTGGTAGGATTACAGAAGAAACCAGCTACATTGACATGCAGCAATGGACCTATCTTTTTAAAAACCAATTTGCGATATAGTCACATATGTGCCTTTCCATCAGTGTGTAAAATAAAATTAGTGGCAAGTGTCGTCTGACAAATAGCAGGATTTCACAGTAGTGATGAGCTTATGTGATATTTCGAGAATAGCAGCACCAAAGTGTTGTGAAAAGGCTGTGATCCCTGGTGGAGATAGTCACAGGGTGATGAGACTGCTGTGGTCTGGGGGCCACAGTCACAACGGACAGAAATACTGCATTTCAGTTCCAGTTAGTGGAAATAAAGATGGGTTTTTTCCCCAATCTGAGCTCATAACCCTCTGAATTATCCCTATGGGCCCCAGGACAAGCTTTCCTACATGGAGGGACAGTCACAGACCTGGTTAGTTTATTTAGCACTGACACGGACATTACTACTACCTTTATCACCTCTGCCTACAGATGGGGAAACTGAGGCTTGGAGCAACGAAGGTGACTTGCACACAGGCAGCATATGGCACGGAGGGAGGCGGTGGGCGCTGAACATAGGTTTTCTCTGCTAACATGGGCAGAGGGCACACCCTTCATTGCTGGAGGGTTCACAGCGGTGCCCCCCCAGACGGGATGCACCGCTGGCCATGCCCTCAGCAGAGCGGATCACGTGCCCGCTGCTGTGTCCGTCGCTCTCTTGAATGCCCGCTCCTGGGGGAGCGCAGCACTGAGCACAGTGCCAGGCACACAGCACATCCCACCTGTGTTCGCTGAGTCGCGAGTGGGTCAGAACTCAGGCCTGGGCTTAGGCTCCAGACCCCTGACCTGCCCAGCACACACCACTGTTCCCTCGACACCCCACCCCTCTGTGAGAAATGCCACGGCGTCCTGCGTGGAGGTCACACGCCCCATGGCAGGGGCGCTGAGAAACAAGTCAAACCCGCTGGACAGAGCGAAGTGAGGAGGCTTCCTGCAAAGAGTGTTTTGAGCTGGACTTGTTCCAACTTTTAAACTGTGAATGTGCTCAAACATGCAGAAAAGTTGAAAAATCGTGCAATAAACACCCATGAATCCCCCCTAGGTAAAATGATTGTCAGCCTTTCTGCCCATCGCCCTGTGTGTGTGCACATACATGGAACATTTTCTGAACGATGTGAATGTAGGACTCGGTGGACATGAAGACTCCCCGGCCATGAACACCGCAGCACCGCCTCCTGAGGTCGGACTATTTGCCTGTATTCCCCTAGAACCATGAAACCATTTTCACACCTAAGAAAGTCAACACTCCTTCCCTGACCTCCAGCTCAAATCAAAATTTCCCCAAGTGTCCTAATTTTTTCTTGAGCCGGGATTCAATCAATGTTCACGCATCAGAGGCAGATTGTAGGTGCGGTTGACTGAACAGGAAGCAGGCATTCGTCCTGGGAAGGTTCGAGTCGCCTTGGCCAGCCGTGAGCAGGAGGGAGGGCTGCATGGGGGAGTCTGGCTCTGTCCTGGGGTTCATCCAGAGCAAGGGAGGGCAGAATCCCAACTGGAATGCCCAGCACCCAGCGGAGACCACCCTTGCTGTTCTGACAAACCTGGTTGTCTTTACCAGACCACACCTGCCGTCACCTTCTTCCCAGACACTCAGTCACCCATGGGGTCTCAGCTGTGGGTCAGGTCCTGGGGGGCCCTGGGATAAACCAGCCACCTCTGTGATCGGTCTGGCCGGCCCCGCCCCTCTGCCCCGCTCTCCCTCCCGCCTGCCCCGCTCCCTCCTTTGCCCTTAAGAACTTAATCGGACCTGCTGAAGAGCCTCCTGGGAGAACAGGTGGCACCAGAGACAGAAATAGCCGGGCAAAAACTCCGGCTCTGTCAAAGCCTCTGGCTCTGGCCAGGGTTGGAGGTGGAGAGAATGGGGGTTGGGAGGAAAAATTCAGAGCATGCCCCTGTGCCCGTGAGACCCACCACGTGGGCCAGAGAAGCTAAGAGCCCACCAAACACAGGACCCATGTGAGGTCCCCCCCCCCAGTCCCTGCCACCTGACCTGGGCTGAGCACCTGTCTCTGGAGGCCAGCTCAGGTCAGGGGCACAAGCCTTGCCCCTGGGAAGAGGGCCCCGCCCCGGGCCACACACCGGCTCTCTTCTGGCTGAGCCGCACCTGCAGCGAGGAGCCCGGGGGATGGAGATGTGTCCGTCCTGAGGCTAGTTCCCCTCTAGACCAGGCCTTAGGCACTGAGCTCCGGAAATCCCTTTTCAGACCGTCACCTGCCCACTTCCAGAGCCTGAGCAGGTGTCCTCCACGGGCCCAGCATCACCAGTGTGGACAAGCCTGAGGGGATCAAAGAGGCAGCTGTTGGTAGGGTCATGGACGAGGCTTGGACGTGAAGGCTGGGGTGTCCCCTGCAGGTGCCAGGCCTCTCATGGTGTGGGAAGAGGAGGGGCAGGCTGAGGGCCAGGAGCTGGCTCAACCCATGTCGCCACGTGCCAGCGAAGAACTCTGAGGAGGCCAAGACTCCTCAGTTTACACCCGACCCTCCAAGTTGTTATAAAGTTCTACTGATAAGGAAGGAAGGAACATTTTATTTCATAGTTTTTAGCTGAATTTGAAACTAACAAATAATTAGACGTACGGCGTGCGCCCTGCCTAGTCCCCTGCAAACGTGTGGTGTGGGCTGAGTGACGTGCCCCGCCCAGGCCTGGAGTGGCTGAGGTGACTACGTGGATGCCAGCACAAGCGTGTCCTCGGTGGCATCCACCTCCCTCTCGTCTGTATTTCTCCCAGCCACCAGAGGGCGCTCTGCTGCAGGTCATTCCTGTGAGGCCTCCTCAGCTCAAATGCAAATCTAGACTAAGGAGAAAAAAGGCCTCAAGGGATAATGCTTGACCCAAATATGAGTCCCTCAAAATGGATCTTAGAAAAGGTGGGAAATGTTGGAGTGTGAAGGGATTCTCCGGGTAAACCTCTAGCCCAGCTACACACACACACACACACACACACACACACACACGGACATGCACACCAAGCACTTCCTGAAGGCCAGACCCCCTGCTGGGTGCTGGGTGCTGGGTGCTGGGTCCTGGGTAGAATGATGCACAAGAGGGGATTTCTCACCCCGTCTGGAGGGTGGGAAGGACACAATCACAGTTCGCTGTGACTGTGCCATGGTGGGGTGAGCCCCGAGCAGCCTGGGGACAGAGAGGTGAGGCCCCAGAACCTGGTCAGGGAGCATCAGAAAGCCTGCTAAAGGGGCAGAGTATGAACTAAAGGCTGAGGTAGGATTTGCTGAGGAATTGAGGAGATTGAAAGTGTTCTAGGGATATGCAAAGGCCGACAAGTAAGAGAAGGCAGAGCTCATTGGGGGAATGGAGTTGGGGGCTTGGGAGAAGTCATTGGGGGAAGACTGGGACAACGGGGACATTTGGTGAGTGATGAGGCTGAAGCTTAAACAAGAGCCACATGAGAAATGGCCTTGAATCCATATGAAGGGCCCTAGTTTAATCTCGAGGACAATCAGGAGCCAATGGAAGTCTGAGCTTCTCAGGGCTCACAGGCCCCGGTCAGCTGTGGTGGCCCCATCCCACATCACATCAACCATCATAAAACGAAGCCACATTACAGTGATTTTTTTTTATCCTCACCCAAGGACATTTTTCCATTTTTTGTCAGACAGAGTGGGAAGGAGAGAGAAACATCAACGTGAAAGGGACACATGGAGTGGCTGCCACCCGCATGACCAACCAGGGCCGGGGACAAACTGCAACCGAGGCACGCGCCCTTAGCGGGAACCGAACCTGGGTCTCTCGGGACCACAGGCCTACCGCTCTAACCACTGAGAAAACCGGCCAGGGCTTACAGTGATTTTTAAATGAAAAAACTGGAAAGGCATTTATAACTCTGATTTGGAATTGTTATTTATTTTATATTTGCAGATTTCGACAGTATTTCTATTTTGAAAGCAAAGGCTCTTATACGGCTCCCCATAGGCTCTTATATGGCTCCCAAACCCCGCGCATTGTGCTCTGGTGTCTAACAAAAGCAAAGCAGTGACATGGTCGGATGTTCTCCTTAGAGAGACCGCGGGAGTCGAGTGGCAGTCACTGCTCAGCGGGGTTCGGCTTTGAGACAAAGAAGCTCTGGAGATTTGTTGCACAGCAGGGTGCTCACAGTTAACACTCTTGTGCTGTGCACTTAATAAGCTGAAGATGGTCAATTTTATGGTATTTGGTTGTTTTTTTTTTTGTTTTTTTACTACAATAACAAATAAAGATTGTATCAGAAGATCCGTCCCGAGTAGCCAGTTAGGAGGCAGCAGCTATAATATTTTTGGTGGATGGTCAAGACTTGAATTAATGGAAGGAGAGAGAGTGAACAGATCTGGGAAACTCATAATATTTAAATCTGAGAATCAATGGGAATTGGGTATAGAATTTGACAGTGAGGCAAAGGGACAAGACAAGGGTGGTGCATCAGTTTGGGCAACTAGGCTGTGCCCACCACCAAGCTGGGGACCCAGGAGAAACAGGGGAGGATGGGGAGCTTTGGGTTGAAGGAGCAAGTAGAACCTGAAGGGAGATTTCAGGAGGCCTCTGGGGCTCAGGAGGCATCTGCATTAGAGATTTCAATTTGGTCACTATCAACATTGAGGTTGTAATTGGAAATGTATGAAAGGATGAGAATGATTAAAGTGAGCCACAATCCACAGAAGGCCAGGGCAAGAGGGCCTACAAGGATGCTGAGAGGGAGTCCCCAGGGGGGAAACCAAGGCAGAAGACAGACCAAGGAGTATGGTCTAGTGGAAACCATGAAGACAGCATTTTCACAGGGAAGAGTGGTCAGTGAGTTGCGCTGGGAAGCTCAGAGGTGGGGACTAGGCTAACCAGTTAGGGAGGGTGTGGCTGGTGGCTGCGGCGCTCCTGTCTACTGGGATGCGGCAGGTTGTAGCAAGAGACCATTCAAGAGCATCTTTGTGCTTTGAGCTTCACTAGTCTCCTCATTCAGTCATCTTCCAGGCTGGTGAAACATGCAGGTGCCAGCAGCAGTGGGTCCTGGTGGCATAGGGGGCACACTGAGGTGGAGGAGTTAAGAGAAGACAACCAAAGAAGCATTCTGGGACTGAGGGCCGAGGCCAGGTTTGGAGGCACCTTAAGGGGAGGCTCAGTGGGGAGAAGAGGGACAGGGAGAGTGCAAAGCATGGGGGCCAGAGGAGAGATTGTCTTTCGCATGACCCTCTTCCCCGGTGTAGGTCAGACCTGTGGGGCTTGCTCCTTGATGCATCCATAATGACTTAGGCATCACTTATTCATTCCTTTGTGTGTGCATTCATTCACTCATTCATTTGCTTGACATTTATTAAGCACCTACTACCGCACTAGGTACCCAGCCCGGGATGTGGAGGTGAATAAGGCATGGTCCCTGTCTGCGATATGACACCCAGTGTCAGGGAGTTAGATAGTCATGCTCTGTGATTTTGCCCTTCAGTTATAGAGCTACGATTGTGCTCAGCCATCCCCAGTAGGTTTCCTTCTTTGTGTGGAGTTGGCAGGGATTCAGGAGGCAATTTCTCTGGATCATCTGGATGTTTTAGGGACTGTTACAACCATGAGTCTATCTTACTTTCATGTGGTGCTTAAAGCATCCCAAGTTCATTCGCAACTGTTTCTCACAACAGCCCCTGCTTGTCTTAGGGAATTAGGGATGGTCGCTCAGGGAGGTCAGTGACTTACTCGAGCTCACCCAGCCGTGAGGCTGGAGCAGGTCTTCTCACTCAGGCCCCAGCTCTCCCCCCTCCTCCTGTTCTCCCCACCCTCACTGACAAAGGGGCCAAGGAAGACACGCGCCCTCTGCCTTGTCCCCGCAGGGTGTGGGGGCCATGCCCCTCATCCCGTGGCTCCGGTGGAGCGAGGCCTTGCCACGGCTGTCGGCCCGGAGCCCGGCCGAGACGGTGCTGGAGACGCTCATGCTGGAGCTGGCGGGGCAGATGCGACAGGCGGAGAGGCAGCAGCGGGAGCGCAGCAACGCGCTCAGGAAGGTCTGCACGGGCGTGGACTACAGCTGGCTGGCCCGCACGCCGCGGGCCACCTACGACCTGAGCGCCCGCGAGCGGCTGCAGCTGGAGGATGTCTGCGCCAAGATCCAGCCGGCCTACTGTGGGCCCGCCATCCTCAGGTAACCCCTGGCCCGGCACGGGGCCCAGCCGTGGGCGGCAGGCTCCGGGGAGGGTGGCTGCGGGGGCCGGACCCGAGGCTACCAAGACTGGAGCCAGGGGGCCTGGATGACCCAGGCGCCTGCTTGAAGGGGCAAGGCGAGGGAGGAATCTGAAAGAGGCTGTGGGACATCAGGCCGAGATGGGGGCTCAGAGGGGGCGGGCGGTTCCTGGATCCAGGCTCATGAGTTGTTTTTTAAACTATGTTTTTATTGAGTTTTTAGAGAGAGAGAGAAAGAGCAATGTGAGAGATACAATAGGCTGTCTCCTGCACGCCCCCTACTGGCAATGGAGCCCACGACCCGGGCTCGGCCCTGACGGAATCCAGAATCCAGCGGGACCTCTAAATCCACTGAGCCACATGGGCCTGGCCAGGCTCATGAGTTTTGATAAGAGAGAACCCCAGACATTTGAATTTTCTGATCTCCCTGTCCTGGTTGTTGTTATCCTGGATTTTAACAAGCTGGCTCCTTTCCCTTTAGTTCATCTTCCTTAATACCTTCTTAGAGAGATTTTCCCAAATAACATTGATCCTATTTCAAACTAGCTTGCCTAAGGGGTATGTGCGTGTGTTTATGTGTGTGTGAAGGGTGCAGAGTCCTAGGACACTGAACATGAAGAGCGTGGGTACATTAATATTCCTGAATATACGTGGCCTACATAGTTTAGTATCAAATGGATTCCTATTGAAGTCACTGAAGCACAGTCCAACAACCAAAACTAATTTCAAAAGGAACTCAGGCCCTGGCTGGTGTTGCTCAGTGGTTAGGTCACAGGGTTACAGGTTTGATTCCCAGTCAAGGGCACGTACCTGGGTTGTAGGTTCGATCCCCAGCCCTGGTCTGAGCATGTGCAGAAGGCTACCAATTGATATCTCTCTCTTTCATCGATGTTTCTCTCTCTCTCTAAAAATCAATGAAAAAAATATCCTTGGGGGAGGATTTTTAAAAAAAGTAATTCAGGTTCTTTATCTACATTTCTTAAGCATTAGTAAATAAATAAAGGTCCACAATAACATCTTAAAACTCCCCTTAGTCTCCCGGAATCTTCTCTCACCCATCTTTAACCTTTCCTTTGAAACGCCCTTAAAAACCCCTTCTCCAGTTCTGTCTGCACTTTTTGGATTTTGTCATCTTTTCATTTCCCTCCCACTTCTTCCTCTGGGCTGAGACTCTTACCCTCTCCACTTTTCTGTATCTTGGACCACCCCCCCCTCCCCGCCAAGTACCCAGGGGACAGGGGCAGGGCTGAGTCACAGGGGCTGGTGCTGATGAGAGAGTCTAAGCTGGCAAACCACACCTCACCAATGACCGGGAGGCTGGGGACACACATGTGGTAATGATTGTCTCAACACACATGCTGCCTCATGTCACCACTGGAAAGTTAGAGCAGTCCTGACTCAGTGGTGGGGGACCTATGTCGGTCCTGGACTTGGTAGCTAGCACTCAGTCCTGACTCAGTGGTAGGGGACCTATGTCGGTCCCGGACTTGGCAGCTAGTTCTCAGTCCTGACTCAGTGCTGGGGGACCTATGTCGGTCCTGGACTTGGCAGCTAGCACTCAGTCCTGACTCAGTGCTGGGGACCTATGTCGGTCCTGGACTTGGTAGCTAGCACTCAGTCCTGACTCAGTGGTGGGGGACCTATGTCGGTCCTGGACTTGGTAGCTAGCACTCAGTCCTGACTCAGTGCTGGGGGACCTATGTCGGTCCTGGACTTGGTAGCTAGCACTCAGTCCTGACTCAGTGCTGGGGGACCTATGTCGGTCCTGGACTTGGTAGCTAGCACTCAGTCCTGACTCAGTGCTGGGGGACCTATGTCGGTCCTGGACTTGGTAGCTAGCACTCAGCCCTGACTCAGTGCTGGGGGACCTATGTCGGTCCTGGACTTGGTAGCTAGCACTCAGCCCTGACTCAGTGCTGGGGGACCTATGTCGGTCCTGGACTTGGTAGCTAGTTCTCAGCCCTGACTCAGTGCTGGGGGACTTATGTCGGTCCTGGACTTGGTAGCTAGCACTCAGTCCTGACTCAGTGCTGGGGGACCTATGTCGGTCCTGGACTTGGTAGCTAGCTCTCAGTCCTGACTCAGTGCTGGGGGACCTATGTCGGTCCTGGACTTGGTAGCTAGTACTCAGCCCTGACTCAGTGCTGGGGGACCTATGTCGGCCCTGGATTTGGTAGCTAGCACTCAGTCCTGACTCAGTGCTGGGGGACCTATGTCGGTCCTGGACTTGGTAGCTAGCACTCAGTCCTGAGCTCCAGCAGAGGCATTTCAGGCAGAGGAAGTAGCTTGGGAAACCGCAGGGAGGCCCTGGGGCTGGGGACACACGTGACCTTCCTCGCTGGAGCACAGACAGGGGACACGGAGGGGACCCGGTGTGCAGGCCACACAGCACTGGGAGCTGTGGGAGGAAAATCTCAGGGCAGTGCCCGTGGGCAGAGCGGAGGGAGAGGGTTAGCTAGCAAGCCTCACATCCTAGGAGGGGAGAGCAGTGGGCTCCCCTTACTGCAGACATGGAGAGCCCGAGCTGAGTGCTGGGATTCACGTTAGCTCATTAAATCTCACAGAAGTGTGGCTGTGACCCCGGTTTACAGATGAGGAAGCTGAGGCTCCTGGAGGCCAGAAGTGGCAGAACCTGGATTTGCACTGGGGATGGGCTGGAGCAATAAGGAGGTGGGGTGATTCCTGATTCACTTCAGGAGAAGTGGGGAAGTGGGGGACTTGGGACTCGACCTCGGGGTGCACACGGAAGCCCCTGGGGCACGAGCCATGTGCCACCAGCAGGTGACCGCCCCACCCGTGCAGGTTCCGGCAGCTGATGGCGGAGCTGGAGCCCGAGGTGCAGGAGGTGTCCCGGCTCTTCCGCTCGGTGCTGCAGGAGGTCCTGGACCGGATGAAGCAGGAGGAGGAGGCCCGCAGGCTGACTCGCCAGTGGAGCCTGCGGCCCCGCAGCAGCCCGGCGCTGGGCGCCTTCAAGACCCGCGCGCGCATCTGTCCCTTCGCCAGCGACATCCGGACCATTTCGGAGGACGTGGAGCGGGACGCGCGGCCGCCGCCCCGGACCTGGAGCATGCCGGAGTTCCGGGCGGCCAAGGAACACTGACCGGCCTGCTTCTGCCCAGGAACAGGGGGGGGGGGGGGGGAGCATGAAAGGCCTGTGACCATCCCGGGTCCTGGAACCTCCCCACCCGCCCCTGACCAGGGACTAGAGGCGGCCCCATCCCGACACTCCTGTGGGATGGAGCAAACCCCTGCCCACCCTCTCCCGCTGGTCACAGGGCCCAGGGTCAGGGTTTGGGGCGCGACAGGGCCCCTCCCTTCCCTGGGTCTTGGCAGGGAGACTATGTATGGTTCCATCCCATCTTCTGCTCTGCCTGGAAGAGGAGTTGCCCTGCCTTTTTGTCAAGACCTGAGTCCTCACTCCAACTTAGGGGTTGTCCCATTTGCCCCATCTCCCTGGGTAACCGTGAGGGGGCCTGTTGGGTGGTGCCCGCTCTCTGCTGGTGACTGGCTGGTCTGACCACTGCTGATGGGTCAGCAGAGCTCGAAGGTGCCACAGAGGTCACGAGGGCCACTCCTGACTCGTGAAATGAGGAAACTGAGGCTGAGAGAAGCCAGGCTTCTTTCACCTTAAACTGCACCCTGATCCCTGTGGGTGGTGAGCTTGTTCCTATATACACAGTCTCTGTCCCTGAGTCCTTGAGTCCTGGGCTAGGATGGGACGGGTCCAAAGACTAGGTCTGTACCTGCCTGTGGTCTCACTTATAGCTCACCTGGGCTTTGGCATGGGGGTCTAAGCTGCTCTCCAAGAAAGGTAGCTGGGGTGGAGGTAGGTGGCCATCACCCCACCCCATGGTGTTGCCATCACTTGGGCAGTGGCCAGCCCCCAGCAGCTCCTTCCAGAAGCTAAGCTTCAAAGCCGTCCCACTCGCTGCTTTGGAGAGTCCAGGTGTCTGATTCCAGGGCCCCTTCTGAATGCGGTCATGCCTGCTCTTTGGCTTTCCCCAGGGAAAGTAGTGCCCAAACCCCTGACCTCCAGGCCCCGGAAATGCTTTAGAAGAGCCTCCCTACAGGTTAGATCTTGATGATGGGCAGGTGGAGTCTCCAATGTGGGCATCACCCATAGTGAATCTGGAAGACCAGGTGGTCTCCCCAAACACTGGGCTGAGGTGGGCTGTGGGGGATGGGTGGGGAGAGTGTCTGTCCCCAGTTATACAAACACACTCAGAAAATGCAAGTGGATCTTAATATTAATGAAATAAAATGCCAGGAGAAGATAAATCAGCAGGGAAAAACCCATATATTCCCTTGCCAAGCTCAGTGGAAAACAATTTTTTTTTTTTAATGATCTCATTTTGAATTATTTTCACTCAAATCTAGAATCATAAGATGGTGAAAAAACCTCTCATCCAACACTCAAGATGGGATTGATCGGCTCATTCACATAATTAGTAAAAGTTGACAATCATTTCAATAAAAATATACATCTTATGTTAAGACATTAAAAATCTCGCCCTGGCCGGTTTGGCTCAGCGGTTAGAGCATCGGCCTGCGGTACAGAGAGACTCGGGTTCGGTTCCCGCTAAGGGCATGTACCTCGGTTGCAGTTTGTCCCCGGCCCTGGTTGGTCGTGCGGGTGGCAGCCACTCGACGTGTCCCTTTCACGTCAATGTTTCTCTCTCTGTCTCTCTTCCTCTCTCTCCCTCCCGCTCTATATGAACAAAATGAAAAAATGTCCTCGGGTGAGGATAAAAAAAAAAAATCTCATCTAACTGTCAAACTGTAGGTCCAAGTTGTGTTCATTTTGTATGTGTGTGATATGTGTGGGTTGTCTGATGGGAGTGCTACACTTCAGCTGTATTGGGTTGTGCGTCTTTTAATCATAACAATAGGAACTGCTACAAATAAGTTCTGGACAAAAATAAAACACCAAAAAACAGTAGAAACCCTTGGTAAGCAGACAACTCCGTTGGTAGGGGCAGAAGTTTGGGAAAGAATGAGAAAGGATCTACTGGCTGTGAGCTTTCTGCGTGCCCTGGATTTGGGCAGCAGGAGGAAATGGAGTGTCAGGGTCAACCTGGCGGAGGGTTCAGGGAGGTCAGTTAAGAGAATGTCTGATGTTTTCTTCCTTCCCCACCACCCTCCATGCTCCCATTCTCTCCAAGGGAAAGGGAGAGCCGAAGCGCTCAGTGTGGTGTTGGTGTGTTAAGTTGAAGTAACTGGCCATCCGTGAACGCCTTCCCTGCCCACCTCAGTCAAGACAGACCGAACCCGCCAGCCTCAGACGATGGTTGTTCTACTGCAGCGGATCCCAACTGGGACTCAAACCTGTGAGAATCAGGTCGCTAAAGGGAGTAAGATGTCTGCCTCGGCTTCTAGTTTAAAAATTCAGTAACATATAAAAGAATATATAAAACCGTTTGAGAAGCTCCTTGTGTGTGTGTGATAGCAGCTATTGGCTGTTGAAGGGGTTGGGGTTGGGGATGCTCAAGACTCCCAGGAGGGTCCATCTGCACACAGCTCAACACTACTAGAAAGAACCAGTGGGGTTAGCCCACTCAGTGGTTACATTTTATTTCCCTTTGGTTTTGTTGTTGCTATGATGAACATTTTCAAACAGAAAAGTAGAGGGAAAGTGTAAGGAGCCTCCATATTCCCATCATAAGGGTTTAATAGTTATTAACGTTTTGCCATATTTGCTTTATTTATTTTTGTGTGAAGTATTGTCAAATAAATCCCAACACCATGACAGTGCACTGCTGAATACTTTAGTGTGCACTGCACAGGAGTAAGGACATTTCCTCGTGTCACTGCAACACCATCACTCCCAACAGAATTAACAGTAATTCCTTAAAAATCATCTAATACTCAGTCTGCATTCAAATTTCCCTGTTCCCAGCAAATAATTCTTGCAGTTTCTTTCTTTCTTCTTTTTGGTTCATCTCCTCCCAAAGATATTTTTTCCATTGATTTTTTTAAATTTTTATATTTTTTTATCCTCACCCGAGGACATTTTTGCATTTATCTTCAGATAGAGCGGGAGAGAGAGAGGGATGAAGAGAGAGAGAGAGAAACATCGATATAAGAGAGATACATCAACTGGTCACCACCCACACAACCCCAACCGGGACAGAGGACAAATTGCAACTGAGGTATGTGTCCTTAGTGGGAACCGAAGCTGGGTCTCTCTGGACCGCGGGATGATGCTCCAACCTCTGAGCCAAACCAGCCAGGGCAATTTAATTTTTTTTTTTTTTTTGAGAGAAAGAGTGGCAAGGAGGAAAGAAGGGGGGGAGAGAGAGAAGTGAAATTTCAGTGTCTTAATATTCACATGGCTCTCCAATGAAACACGATATATTATTTCAAAATTTATTAATCGACAACTCAGTTTTAGACAGCTATTTTAAATAAACACTTTGCATCACTTATTAAATGGGGGAAATTGGCAGCTGTTTCTTTGTGTGAATATTATTACACATTGTATTAAATTAGCATATTCTATTTAGCAAGGTGGTAATCTAAAAGTAAAAACACTGACTAAAAATTGTGACTTTATCATAGTCAAGGGAAAAATAACAAAACAGTTTTTTTCAAGTTTCTAAGAATCCCCAAGTTTTTCATTACTGAGAAAGGCATTCACGAGCCAACAGAGGCTGCAGCATTTTCTGGCACATTTGCGTGTGCTGCATTCCAGACAGGCAAACACGCAGCATTCCCAAAGCCTGCGGCCAACCTGACGTTCTCCAACCCACTCTCCCCTCCCAGCTGGGACGTGGTCCGGAGAATTCCATTCCGGAACGAGCTCTTCCTTCCATTATGAGCTGAGTCCTGAGGCTAACAGCTTAGAAGCTACTCCGGTGGCTCCTTGGGGCAGTGGGCCTCTCTGCTCGGCTCTAGGAGTCCAGGCTCCGGAACATGGGGCAGGGACTGGTGGGTGAGCCTCTCCTTAGTGAAAGAGAAACCAAGCCATAGGCAAAGAAGCTGTTCCAAAGTACAAAAGGGATAGGAGAAACAGAACTGCACAAATAGCACAAATATTACAAAATCCAGAAAAGTAACATTCTAGTTTTATTAACTGCTTGACATATCTTTATATCATTACTATTTTTTACTTCTTTGGGGGAGGGGAATGTAATTTCTTTGTCACTTCATAGGATAATAGTTTTGTAATATCTTTTTTGTACGTAGAGAATTGAAAGATAATCCAGTTTTTCCTCTTTCACAGTTGATCAAAATTTATTTCTTTTATCCTCACCCGAAGACATTTTTTTTTTTTATCATTTATCTTGAGATACAGCAGGAGGGAGAGAGGGAGGAAGAGAGAGAGAAACATCGATGTGAGAGAGAGACATTGAGTGGTCACCACCCACACGACCCCAATCGGGGCTGGGAACAAAATGCAATTGAGGTAGGTGCCCTTAGCGAGAACCGAACCCAGGCCTCTCTGGTCCGCAGGCCAACGCTCTAACCGCTGAGCCAAACCGCTCAGGGCTGTTCATTTTTTTTAAATGAAAGAATGCTGCCCTAGCTGGCGTGGCTCAGTTGGCTGGAGCATCACCTGGTACACTGAAAGATTGCAGGTTCAATCGCCAGTCAGGGCACATACCTAGGTTTCAGGTTTGGGGCATGTACAAGAGGCAACTGATCGATGTTTCTCTCTCTCTCTCTTCCCCTCTCTAAAATCACTAAGTATGTCCTCAGGTGAGGGTTAAAGAAATAATAAATGAAAGGATGCAAAATACATGAATGTGCCTTCACACACAGGTTCACTAGCTGTAGCACAGTGTAAGTTTGTGTCCTACATAAAAAGGAATTCAGATAAATTCTATCTTGTATGATTCCCATACACAAACAAACAAACTAGTTATAGTACATTTGTAACTGTATATGCTGCATTATTAAGTATATCAAGTTTGTGGACAGAATTATTTGTTAAATATTGATAAAAACGAACCCTCTGCTAACAATTTTATATATCTAATTATTGGACATTTTCCATAACCTACTCTCTGGCTCCACACACTTCAAACCTTGTTTCTCTTCTAATACTCAGCTTCTGGCACCAGGCCCTCAGGACACATGTATATTGTAGGGAGACCTCTGGCCCTGCACCCTGGTGTCACAAAAGC